CCCCAAAACCCCAAAACCCCAAAACCCCTTGAGATAAAATTTAACTTAAATTTCATGTAACTTAATATTTTAAAATTCAAAATTATACATACTGAATTTGTACAATATTTATCTGAATTAAATATAATAATGACAAACAGGGTTTTACTCACTTGCTATTTATATATTTTAGCAGAGTCAATTTCTGGTTAGAGTTGCTTTAACAAAGGATTTCCAATGTACATAAAATTTGATAAAACTGTATGGTTGACTCAAGGAGAATTTTTTGGTGATTCTCTGTACGTAGGGGGTTCAACTTGGGATGAGGTTAGGACTTAATCATATCAAAAATACAGTCCTTTTCTAATGAGAATTAAAACTGACAGTGAAATATACTGGTCCAAAGCTATAACTAACTTTATAGGTGGTAGTGAATCTATTAAAGTAAATAATGGAATGATTTACTCAATCTTATATACTCCATATTCTCAAGAAAATTACTTGTTTGTTCAAGCAATAGATGATGGCCATATAATTAACTACATTAAATTAGAGTGACTTCAAGTAAATTTTAATAGTTTGCCTTTGAAAAAATAATCAATGGTCGTAATTGACAATTATGTTTACATTACCTACACAAAAATTATTCAATCACTATAATACTTTAAAGAGAACCTTAAGGAATATCAAATTTCAATAATAAGATTAACTTAGAATTCAAACGGTTTTACTAGTTAAGAGATTTTAACCTAAATAGGATAAAGCAAAGGTTCTCGAGCAGGAGGAGTTATATATTCAGGAAACAACCTCTTTTTTTCTGGGACTGTGTAATTTCAACAGTCTTAGGAGATTTCTCATTATACTATGAAATTTGACAAGAATTTTAATTTTAAAAAAGAAGATTGGAATCTCATCAAAGGAAGCACTTTGTCTCTGCAATCTCTGGTGCTTATTTACCATGAGGTGTTTGAGCCTGTTCAATCTGATTCTAATATCTAATATATGGCTCTCTAAAATGATACATAAATGCTTAGACGTTTCATTTATTTGAGAGTAGATGGTTAAAGTGTAGCTGGATACAAGCATGAAATTGCAGATAAAAATACCAATTTACTAGCGATAAGTTAGAAAGGTTCAAATAAATTCCTATTAGCAATAATATTATGTAGAAGATTAGTTAGTGAAAATAAAAGTTATATTGCTACTTTGAACTTCTTAACGGGAGAACTCATACTAATTGAACATAAGTAAATGTCTTTGAAAATTGCATTAGCTGCTATAATATCTGATAAATCAAATGAACCTTATATCTTTCTACTTGGCTATGCATAATCATTCTCAATGGATGGTTAAGATACAGGAATAGTAAGTGAAATTACAGGCAAATCTCCTTATTGTAGTTAGTAATAATAAGAGTTAGGGTAAGAAACTCAATAACTTTTGAGGGAAGTTAACATACTCAGAGAAGATCTATTTCAACAAAGAAGAGTATTTTACTCGTAAAATTCTAATTAAGAGTAGATTAATTATTTAAGCAATGATGTGTTTGAAATAACTGACACACTAGACTTTACTCAATTTTTCCAATTTCAATACGAATGCCTAAGCTATAATAAGCTTGACTTTCCAAGTAATGATATGCAAATAATAGATATTTCATCATAGTCACCTTACTATGATGTATCAATTCAAAATCCAAGAATTACTGACTATAGTATTTGCTCAATTGATACTTTAAATCATGATGGACACGAATTAATTTCTTCGGCAAATCAATAAATATTAATAACCCTTATTCCTATGACATTAATCAATACTCCTACCTTTAATGTTAGAATAGATTCAACATATCTTAAACCTGGTCCCTATACTCTAAAATTAGTTTATAAATTGTTGCCTAGAAATATTAGATTTTATAGCGAGACTCCCATATATTTTGTATAAAGTAAAACCAAACCATGTACTGCAGATATGATCTAAGATTATTTAAGTCGAAATCCAATTTAAGATGTAAATTACTATAAGGGTGAAAAAATGAAAAAAATTAACTTTAATTATTAAATAGACTGTGAATATCAAGTCAAATATGCCTTGTCTAATGCCAATTTTAAGAAAGTTATCACATTTGATCTACTAGAGAAAGAATTGCATATTAAAACAAGTGACTGGGACCTTATTGCATCTTGTTCCATTGTAAATGTCTAGGTTGATTTTATCAATGGCAGTTTTCAGATATTTACTATACCATAAAAGATAAATTTTTTTGCTTGTAATCCTTATTAGATTGCGCCATA